CCTCAGAGCCAGAAAGCTAACAGAACTCACACATAACAAAAGAACACCTATAAACATCCTATAAAACTTCAAAACACAAAAGCAAAAAAAGTCTTGAAAACAGTCAAATCAAAAAGATAACCTACAAAGGATTTGCATTTAACACTTCCAAACACAACATTTATAAATGAGATCTTCACAAATACATTAGACTCTAGCCATATAAGGTTATTAAAATTAAATAAAAAATTTAAAATCCAGTTTCTCAGCCACACTAGCCACATTTCAAGTGCTCAACAGTCATGTGGCTAGTGGATACTGCACTAGACAATGTTGCTATTGATACAGGACCCTGTAGAGTTCCCACTCAGAAGGCCCTCGCCAGATGTACACTCTGGACTATGGACTTCCCAGACACCAAACCTGTAAGAAATAAATTTCTTTATAAACTACCCAGTTTCAGGAATCTTGTTATAAGAAATGGAAACGGACTAATATAGACCCCAAACATACTTAGAAAGATTGAAAGTAAGAGAAAAAGATACTAGGCAAATACCAAAAAATAAAGCTAGTGTAGATATAGTAATATCAAATGAAACATTTTTGGGGAAGTATATGTAACAATAAAAGCTTTGCCAGGAAAATATACCAATTCTAAACCTATATGCAAATAACAAAGTCTCAAAATATTTAAGGCAAATACGGGCATGAATAAAAAAGAAGTGAAAAAGTCAACTTCACAGATTTTAGCATACCTTTCTCTGTAACATGTATCACACAGACCAAAATTAAAAAAACAGTAAAAACATCAAACTAGTATAATATTTAACACTTTCAGTCCCACCCAAGAGAACACTGTCCCCAACAACTGGACAACACACATGCTCTTCAAGCACCTGTACAATCAGTTTTGGAAATTGATCAAATACTACATCATAAAGCTAAGTCTCTATAAATTTCAAAGACCACATTCTCTGACTACAATGTAATAAAGTTAGAAATCAAATAACAAAAACATAAGTAGCAAAACTCCATGTTCGAAATTTTAAAATACTTTTCTAAATATTATAAAAATCTACAGCACATATCAATATGGATGAATCTCAAACAATGCTAACTGAAATAAGTCACAGAAAACTAAAGAATGATTCATTTACATAAACTAAGGAACACATTCATCAGTGGTAACATAATGAAATACAAGAGAATAATTAACACAAAATTCACTTCAGTGGTGGGTGGTAAGGGGACTGTGGTATAGGGGTGGAGAGAAGAATACAAGGGGCCTCTACAGCACCATTTGTTTCTTGAGCTGGGGACTAGAGATCTGGGTGATCATTTTATTATTTTTACTTTTTTAAACTACATGTAAACTTTATATAGTTTTAGATAACATATTTGCAATAGAATTATAGAAAAAGAAATGTGGAGGGGGGAAAAATTGTCAAGGTAGAGCTAAGATGTGACAAGGGTGAACAAGCTGCCACCCATACTCAAGCTTCCTTCTTAGGTCTGAAAATGCCTCTCTCTGCTTCCGCCATCAGTTAATAAAAGCAGAATTGCTCCTATTCTGTGATATCTTTAGGAAAACATCATTTGCTCTCATCAAAGGTCTCCCTTACATCACTCCGAGGACTTGCTCTGTGATCATATTTTTCTTGACGTAGGTATAGGTATGTTCACTAAAATGTCTACATCAGATGAAGTTTGTAGGCACTTGTCCTTAACTTCCCTCTCTACAAAGGGTGAGATGATATCAAGGAATAGAGGTAAGACACTGCTTTACCTGCATGTCACTTTTGGCGGCTTTCACAGCATCAAAGAGATCATTGGCTGATGACTCTGATTCTTTCTGGCCATTACCATGTACCATTCGGGACCCCTTCTTTGGCTGTTTTGCCACCTAATAAGTATAAAAAGATCAGGAATATGGGGAAAAAAATGAAAGTGACATTAACACTTGGTCTCATTATCACATTGTTGGCTTAAGCTGCCAACTCTCAAGCAGAGTTTGAGTTACTCAGACCTGAAATAACTGATTTTTATATTGTTGTTAACTTTATTATTTCTAACTTTTTCTCCTTTCAAAAGGTCCTTGAACCACATTCCTGTACCTCAATATCCTAATGCCCTCTTATTTTTTCTTCAAAATTTGTCTTCTTCCTATGTCTGTCCTGTAACACTCTTTGAGTCTCGTCCCTTTGTTAACCAGATCACCCGAGCCTCTTCTAGCTTTTCTTTTGCTGCTTCCCAGACCAGACTCAAAAACAAAACAAAATTGATTGACTCACTGGGGTTGTTTTGAGTGGTCGTTTTGCTGCTCTCTTCTTCACACTGCGTCTCAGGCTATCTTCAAAGTCACTGCTTTCATCAGCTGACAAAGAGTCACTAACCCTATGAGGCAGTATGGTTCTCCTTAAATACAACCACCTCCCATTCCCTTTATATAAAGGGTTAATGAATATAATTTCCCTTTGTCTTTAACTGTACTCTATGTCCATGAGAAAAATGTATTCAGTAAGAAAAGATGAGTTATTGTTATTAGGAAGTAGAGACAAATTCTTAAGGGAAAATTTTCACTTGAAAGTAATGGAGATGAAGAATGAGGAACTAAGGTGGGTGAAAGACAGCCCTTTCCTGGTAGTCTCTATTAATAAGAGAATTGAATAATATTCACTTAAGCAGGCAGAGGAACCAGCTCTGTGTGGAGAAAAGTCAGCACGGCTTAGGAAGTCATATACCATCATACATAAACAGTAGATAAATATGCACTTGGAATTATATTTCACCCCTTGAAACATAACCACATGTCTTATTCATTAGAACGAAGTTTATTATTTTTGCTGTCTACCTGTAGGGCTGCCGAAAAACAGCCAGCAGAGCTGGAGGGGTCACTGTTCTGAACCAGTATAGCATTTCTGATGTTTTCATGGAGTCCCACGCATATTACCATAAATGCAGGAAAACGATAAGGGGGAAAGCTGCTGAGGACGGAGGCCGCACAATGCAACAACTTTTCATCCACTCGTCACTCACCCCTCTGAAGCCTGGTCAGAGTCCCTGTCATCCCTGTCATCCCAAGGCAGATTGGTGGAGGAACTAGAAGAGGCAGACAAGGCCCTCTGTGCACTTCCCACAGCTCTTCGCAGAGGGGAGGACACGCTGCCCGGGGAGGACGAGCTGTGGAGCTGGGAGGAGGAGGATTGCAGGGTAGGCATGGCGATCCAGCTGGGGGGAAAGAGAGGAAAGTGCTCCCACCTCACCACTTCTCTATCCCCAGCCCTGACCAGTTCCTTTCTTGCCAAGGGAACTGCTCTGGGAAGCGTAAATTAGGTGGCGCAAGGGAATTTAGTTCACACGTTAAAAAAATACTAAAGAAGAAAAAGTGCACTCCAGACTTCCATTTCTAGGTTAGTACTTGATTCTATATGGAATAGGAAACGCTTAACGACTTGGGGGTGCAGGCGCCATTAAAACAGGGCCAGAAACGCTGAAGGAGTAAAGGAAGGCCCGCGTTTTCTATTTTCGCAGGTCATATCTGTGACTGAACGTGGGCTGAGCTTCTTTGGGCTAAGGAGCCTTCCAACCGCTTAAGAAAGTGGACTCAGTCTTTCCGGGACTGGGAATGAGATTCTCGGCTGCCACTGAGGCGTGGAGGGGGAACGCCTCCAGTCTCCGGGCCGGGAGGGTAGGGGGAGGGCATATTCTTGGGCCAAAGAGGAGCCTCACTGTCCGAACCCACAAGAGCGACTTCTGGCTGAGTAGGCCGAAGGAAAGGTCACCGCCTCAGCTCCCTCAGATGTCTGTCATCATTCCACCTCCGGCACGGGAGCCCTCCGCTTCTCTTCCGGTGGCGGAAGAGTCCAGAAAAACGCGGGAAGGTACGAGATACGGTTTGCGCAAGCGCAAGCCCAACGGCTCGCCCAGGGCCGGTAATTATCGCGAGGCTTGGGAGTGTGTAAGCCCGTGCTTACCACGTTCCTGTCATGCTGCTCAGGCAGCCTCGTGCGGCCGCCAGCTCGCGGGCGTGCTGACCTATCATGTGGGCTCAGGCGCGGTGCGGGAGGGGAAGGGGGCTGCCCCACCCCGCTCCCGCCCCCG